CCGAGTACTATCCACATCAATGCTCAAACCCACAGGGAAGCTTTGATGTCTTTTTAAACCCATCTGAATGGTATACATCCTAGTATCCAGTTTACGGGGGAGGTGGAAACAGATTCATCCCTACCGTTTCTCGACGTTATCATAAAGACAATCCAATTAAAAGTTTTTGCACACACCAATCGTTACTTGCATGCCAACTCCCATCATACACCTTCACAAATCAATTCAATCATTAATACCCTTGTCTTCAGACCAATACGCCTTTGCGATGATGCAAGTGGACCCGCTGAGCTCTCTAGTTTAAAGCAAGCCCTCATCAAAAACGACTGCCGCGAAAATCACATCAATACGAGTATCCACAGACATCAATCTCCCACACAATCTCAACCCAAAGACTCAGACCCTCATCATATAAAAGCTTTTCTTCCTTACATCAAAGGTGTCACTGGCAAAATCAACAAAATTCTTAAATCAAGTGGATAAAGATAATATTTACCCTCCAACAAAAACTTTCATTTCTTGTCCGATCAATCAAAGGTAACATTCCAAATGAATAACACGGAGTTAAATGTTGTTTCCAGCTGAACGAAGCAAGTGAGCGTACACCTTTAGTAAATAGTTTCGTGAAGATCGACCGACAAAATCCATTAAAATAAAGGTTAGACCGACAAATAACATATGTGGAAATACGAAGTTATGTTTTGACACCAGTATGAAACAAATAAATCCAATTTTTCATGATTTCCTAGGTGTTAAAGATAATGTTCGCGTTAGATCCAACACAACCTTACCAACTATCGAAAACCAGCTCATAACACATGGAGACATAAAAGGAGATTTTGCTTGTTATATAACAACCACTATTACGAAAGACAGATAGCAAAAACCGCTGATTTGGTAGGGACATGTACAGAGAATGACAAAGTATCGTCTAGGAAAATTAATATTAAATTAGCAACAACCTGCAGACGAAGAAAACGAAGAAGATCAAACGAAGAAGATAAAAAAAATGGTTTGATGGAGTCCAAAAAGTAATGTCGGAGAGAGGCGCATGACGCTATGAACCGGAAATTAAGTTGTATCCTCTTGTTACTGAAAAAATTGTGTTTTTGTGAAAATTGGTTCAAACGCCTGGAAATGTGACAAGAATTCAAAAGAAAATATTTTTGTTTTTTCCCTCTCGAAATTAAAGCAACATCCCTTCTACAAGACTGGTTTTTAAGGCTGTGAATTATGGACAATGAACAGAATAGATGGTATTAAACTGGAGATCTGAGGAAAAAAACTACAATAGATCTACGGAGACAGAAAAACTTAAGATGGTTGCATGACGAAGAGCCAACCCACCGACCAAATAAGAAATAATAAAATTCCATGGAAAGCCATTAATAAAGAAGACCTACGAGCAGAAAATCCAATGGGTGCACCATGTGGCAAAACAGAAGAGGAAGATCAAGAAACAAATGGTAATAAGAATCTTCCGGCAATAAAACTTTTTCAATAAGTCAAACGAAATAAGTTAGAAAAATAAAAGTCCGATTTAATGATTATATTGCTAATTTATTGATCGTGGAGTACTGGAAAAAATATATAGTGTGAAATATTTAAAAAATAAATCCTTACGAAATTTTATAGTAATGGTGAATCCGGTATATTTTTTACTGTTGTCTGCCTATACATTTTGAATTAACATTGAGTTAGAAATATTTAATTTTATAAATATATTTTTAATTTGTAGATTATAAAGTACTAAAACAGTATATACATTTGGAAAGATTAAAACGGAACATAGGGATTTTTAATACAATTACTGAGATCCCCTGATTTGCAATTACCCAGTGTAAATTTTAATACAACGTCGCGATGTTTTATAAATAAATTGTTTGTTCCACTGAATTGCTGCTTCTTCGCGATTTGTAGTAGCGTATTCGGCAGACGTACGTCGACACTGTTTCTATCGTCCACTGATTTTTTGTGTTTTTGTGCAGATAATAATGTTTTACTAATAACAATTTTTTGTGTTCATTAGATATTCTTTGAATTGGTTAGTGTATAGTTTAATACATTTATTATTCCAAATATTGTTGATAAATTAAAATTTAAAAAGATTTATATGATACATCAAAATCTACAGATTTTTGACGAAGGTATCTACCGATTTGGCAACAGTCCCAAGGAACATCACAAATATGTGATATAGCAAAACAAATACCTATGCCCTTTGCTTCTCATTATAACGCCATAGGCTGAAATGAAAGTAGTGTTTCTAACCATAAACCATGTATACAAACGAAGAAAAAGTACAAATTTTAAAATGGTATTTTGGGGGCAACTCGTACCGTGATATTATAAATTTATTTACTTTGTTGTTTTAAAGTTTCAACAACTCAAGAGTTATTAGCCGAGAACAATTTCAAACGTATGGAATTTTGTGAACTGATGATGAATAAACAAAATGAAAGTGAACATTTTTTAAAAAACATTTTGTTTACTGATGAATCGACATTTTGGTTACATCGGAAACATAATTCTTCTGTCGTACGATATTCGTCTTGGCATAATAAACACTTGAGTATTCCAGGACAAACACAGTGTCCCCAAAAACTTAATGTTTGGACAGGTATTTTGGGGGCTATATCGTCGGTCAATTTTTTATTGATGGTAATTTAACGGGAAATAAATATTTAGAATTGTTGCAAAATCAAATTATTCCAGCAGTTCAATTACTTCCTGTCAACTTTGACGATATTTGGTTTCAGCAAGATGGCAGTCCTGATCACAATACACGAGCAGTTCAAAATTATTTAAAAACCATTTTTGGAAATAAATTAATTTCTTCTCGTGGTACGATCAAGTGGCCTCCCAGATCACCAGACTTATCCCCAAATGATTTTTTTGTTTGGGGATATTTAAAAGCAAGTGTTTATCACCAAGGTTTTAAAAGAGCCCGAAATTTAGCGGAATTGAGGGACAAAATAATTCATCATTGTGGAAGCAGTAGACCGGAACTGCTCAGGGATAGGAGACTATCTTTGTACAACAGATTTGGTTATTGCTCCGCAGAAGGAGGTGGAATATTTGAACCTTTATTACGTTCAATTTTTATTTTTAATATTATTATTATGTTAGAGAGTTAAATTGTAGATTTTTGGCGCTTTGATACGTACCCAACCTGTGTTCCGTTTTATACTAGACTAGCCGCTTGGCGTTGGCGAGATGTAAGATTTTATTATACGATGATCGTTTGTATTCGGCAACGTGCGCACGTGCGCAGCAGTCGAAAAATATCGACTGGAGAAGGAGTCCAGTCGAACAAATGAATTAATTATAAAACATCGCGAGTTTATATTGAAATTTACACTGGTTAATTGCAAATCAGCTAATCATTTCATTAATATAAAAATCCCTATATTCCGCAAAACAAATTCCAAATCTGTATAGGGTGAACTATTAAAAAAATATATCTCAACGTTTTTTAGAGCAATGGTGCTTCCTGTACATTTTTATTGTTGCAGACACCTAAATACGTAAATATTTCAAACTAATCCAGTCGTTTGGATTGTCAGGCATACGCACAACAAGTCTCTTCATCTATCAATATAGTAGTATAGCAGATTGTAGATGTACCCTCAAAAAATGACCTGTGACGTTTATAATAACACTCCGTATCCGGGACCAATATTTTTCGCAATATAAAAATTTACGACACGAAAATCAAACAGAAATCATTCAATTGCGTAAACAAAGCACAAATCGCGAACAATAAACTGTTTATGATTTTTTTTTGTTTTTAAAAATTGAACAAATATTTCGAAAATTATTACACAATTTGCAAACGGATATTTTCCTACCAAACAACTTTATTTTGTTTAAACTTAATCAAATTATGCATTCATTTGTATTGTGCGCAATCTTTTTTTTTTGTTTTTTTATTTCTTTAAAAAAATTTGTAAACACCACACACACTAATTCGCACAAATGATAAATTTTGAACACTTGCGGTCGTTCAACCCAATGATTTGAAATATTTTTTATCACTAAGCGTATTATTTAGAGACATGTTCATGATTTATTTTCAATCTGAAGATATGCGTATATCTATTATATAAAAAAACCCCATTTCCCTATATCGAGCCATAACTTGAAAACGACTTCATTACTTTCCGATTCATTACCGATTTCATTAATTTTTTTTATTTTCTAATATTGTGTAGAAGTTTCCTGAGAAAAGAAACTTGCACAGAAAATTTAAAAATCTCAGGAAACTTGCGCGTTTGACAGTTATCACTGTTAAAATGTCCTAGTGGTGAGTGTGCCCACCTGTCACTTTGGGGAGCGTTGTTCGATACCCTGCCGAGTAGACATTTTTATTTTTAAAATACATTAACCCTTTTTTCTTTTATAATTTTAAATCTTATAAATGCAGCAATTTTAGTTTTCCATACAAACAGCTACATATTATACTCGTTTGGATTGACGTTATCTTCACTTCTATTTACTTTAATACATGTGTCCTATTTTAGATTGAGTTTAATATAAATAAGGACCTATTTAGATCGGAACAAAAAAAAGTGCGTAGAAACTTTGACTCAAACGCATAAAAATGTATTAAACAGAATATAGTGAATTTAACAATAAAAATAGTGAAGGTACTAGAATTAATGTATAGTCGCAAAAGTGATTAGTTAGACAAAATGAATGGATACATTAAATAACAGTATGTCTAATAGTAAGAGAAGCATCATAAGCTCATGGCGTTACGAGTGTCCGAAAGAAGTTATTGGACACAAATTATTGGAAATATATCTAGTGGTTAATCAACATGTAACATTGATCGAACCTTTGATTAAAATAGTAGAAAATGGACATGCCACTAAATAATACACTATTAATAAATGATAAATATTAAATTATCAGACCCATTGTGATAAAAAACATAAGACTGAAAAAATGCAAAAATAAATAAACATGATGCAATTATTCTATCACAAACTTACACCTCACACACTATGAATGCCATGCATTTTGAGCAACTCTTTGAGGTGTGCATTTTCTACACGCAGGTCAGTAATTTCTTCCCGTAGAACCCCGTTTTCTTGACGTAGCACCGCATTGTCTTCACGTAGATCCACCACTTCAACCTTCAGCTGTTCCACTTCCTCGCTTTGGGGTTTTAGTGTTTGTAAAAGGGCTGTCGTGTTTGGTCTAAGGTCGGGGCTATTGACGATTAGTTTTTTGATCATATCGGCGATTTGGGGATGTGTCGTCGAGAGATGAGTTGGTGTGTGACCATTTCGCAGCTCTGTAATTGATTTTACTCGTTCCATATCAGTGCGAAAATTTTCTATTAATTCGAAGAGAACTATTCCTAGGGAATACATATCGCTCTGAAAAACAAATAGTGTGTTAAATATGTGAAGGAATTCTAAGGCTGTGAAGCTCAAAATATTTTCAAAGCAGGTATATCTTGTAACTATATTCGGTTTGGAAATGTATGACCGCAAATTTATATTGGTCTGGATCTATTTTCTTGTGGCATTTTAAATTAATTACTATTTAACTGGGAATAAGCCACAATTAAAGATAAAAATACGTTTATTGACGTTTCAATTTCCACTTCGGAAATCGTTCTCAAAATACAAACAGTAAATTAAACAAATTTTGTTTTTTGTTACATAGTGAAAAATTCTTCTAATAATTTAATTTTATCTGACTCATTTATATTGACAATTCAGACATACATTATGCATTTTAAAGTCGTCTACTTTAAAATGCATAATGTATGTCTGAATTGTCAATATAAATGAGTCAGATAAAATTAAATTATTAGAAGAATTTTTCACTATGTAACAAAAAACAAAATTTGTTTAATTTACTGTTTGTATTTTGAGAACGATTTCCGATGTGGAAATTGAAACGTCAATAAACGTATTTTTATCTTTAATTGTGACTTAAAGCAAATTTATAATTATTACATATAATAATTGATTCATGATATTGTAGTGTAACGTTTTCGGACTAAAAAGTCCATCATCAATGTATTACTACCAGATATACATGAGTCAAGCCACCAAATATCTGGGTAAATAAAAACCCTTAAAATTGTATAAAATTTATTATTTGTTAAATTTTTGTTGAAAAGATGGTGTGATGTTAAAGTATTAACATCACACCAACCGAAATCATTCTGTGATGTAACCCGAAAGGCCCTTTTTAATTATATACCTTTTATAAAGGATTTTAAACAAAACTTGTGATTCATGGTATACAGCCAACTACAGAAAGAAAGACAATAAACATACCATTATGAAAAATTACAGTCTTTTTTTTGCGGCATATTTTTGATATTGAAAATATTGATGAGGAAGTTGAATTTCTTACTAATTATCCTAGGAAAAGAAGCCAAAAAAAGCACTTGAAAAATCTAAAAATTACTGGGCGCTCTTTTTTAACTGGAATATCTGGAAGAAGTCAATAAAGACTTTTTATTTTTTATTAACATTTAAGTAAAAAAGCGAATTTTTTCGTTCATTTCAATATTGTGAAAAAAAACCACGCATTGTAAATGGAAAAATTCAACAAAAGACTTTCTTGAAATACTTGCTGTTTAAAATGAGATTTTCCAAAATTAAAAAAAAATGGATATAAATAAAAAAGATATGGCAAATTAAACTCGAAAGTAAGCATTTTTTCAATTGTTTATACTTATTATAATAACCAATAAAAACATTTAAAATAACATAGGGCTTCAGGTAAAGGAGGAAAAAACCAAATATTTGTTGGTTTCTAAAAACCCGCGAAATATCCAACAGAGAATTCAAATTAACAACCATACCTTTGAGCAAGTCAAAGAATTCATATATCTTGGGTCGCTAGTAAACGCAACAAACACGACAAGCGACGAAATAAAAATACTCATAACAATAGCAAACGGTTCACGGTCTCCAGACACATTTAAAAAATAAAAATATAAAACGTGCACTAAACCTTAATATATCATCATCATCATCATCATCAGTAGCTCGACAACCCTTTCTGGGTCCTGGTTTGTTCTAGGATTTTCCGCCATTCTGTTCTGTTCTTTGCTTTGTTTTTCCAGTTGGCAATCTTAAGTGTTTTCAGATCTTGTTCCACTTGTTCCATGTATTTAAGTTTGGGTCTTCCTTTTGACCTTCTCCCTACTGGTGTTTGCCTCATTATATGTTTTGGCGTTTCAGTCTCCAACATCTGTTCAACATGGCCCATCCAGCGCAGACGTCCGATCTTTATGGATGTTATGATCTCGGGTTCATTGTATGCTGTGTATACTTCAAAGTTATATCTTCTGTGCCGTATGTCATTTTCCTTTACCCCCTTATATATGTGTCTAAGAATTTTTCGTTCAAATGTACTTAATAGGCTCTCATCGCTTTTCGACAGTGTCCGGTTTTATCAGGGTCTTGTATATTTTGCATTTGGTTTTTCTTGTGATGTTGTTAGATCTTAGATGTTTAATTAGTCCATTATATGTTTTATTAGTGATATGTATTCTTCTCTTAACTTCTTCACTGATATTGTTATCTGCGGTAACTAGTGAACCTAGATATGTAAAATTTTTCATGCTTTCGATGTTATCGTCTCGTATTGTCAGATTCTGTAGGTTTCTTTGGCCTGTCGATTTACTGGCCTTCATGTATTTGGTTTTTATTTCGTTAATGTTTAGGCCACTGTTTTGTGCCGCTCTTTTTATCGTATTAAATGCTTCTATCATCTCTCTTTCGCTTATAGCTATGATATCAACATCATCTGCAAATGCCAATATTTGTACACTTTTTGTTATTGTTGTTCCTCTGGTGTTCACTTTTGACTCCCTAATTATTTTCTCTAATGTGATGTTGAATAGAATACAGGATAGGGCATCTCCCTGTCGTAGGACCGTTCTCACATGGATTGTATCTGTTAAATCGTTTTGAATTCGGATTTTGCTTTGTACTTTAAGTGTTTCTTTTACTATATCAATGAGTTGAGTTGGAATATTAAACTCTTTCAGTGCATGGATCAGAAACTCTCGATGGATGCTATCATAGGCACTCTCAAAGTCAATGAAAAGATGATATGTGTCTATATTAAATTCACTAGTCTTTTCCAAGATTTGCCTCAAGACGAAGATCTGATCTATTGTGGACTTCTACCTGCAGAAACCACATTGATATCCCCCAACTATCCGTTCCGCATATGGTCGGTCTCAATCGGTCATACACAATATTTGACAGTATTTTATATTCCACATTGAGTAGCGTTATTGCCGGTAGTTTTTGCATTAGTTCGTGTATCGCATTCAATAGGGAGTCTCCACCTTCTTTTATTAATTCTGCGCTAATGTTGTCTAATCCAGGTGACTTGTTTTTCAGTCTGGTAACTGCTTCTTGCATTTCAGCTACTGAAGGGGGGTTGTTTCTCTGGTATCTGTTTGATCCAGTATAATTCCTTCATATAGTGAATCTTCGTTTTTTTTCAAACTTTCCTTTGAAGAATTCTGTCTATCTTTGTAGTATTTCACTCTGTTGAGTTACTATATCTCCTTCTCTGTCTCTACACATCATTGTTCTTGGTTTAAATTCTTTTCTACTGTTGTTAAGTTTTTGGTAGAATTTTCTGTTTTCTGATGGTTTATTTAGTTCTTCCATTTCTTGGAGTTCTTTTTTTATGTGTTCTCGTTTCTTTTTGCTATGTATTTTCTTCTCTTCCTTCCTTAGCATTCTATATTCCTCCTCTGCCTTTCGTGTTCTATGTCGTTGTTGTAGTCGTTGATATGCATTATTTTTCCTCTCTGTTATATTAAGACACTCTTCATCGAACCACTGTCCTTCAGTTAATTTGGGCTTTTTTTGTAGACCCAGAGTCTCTTTGGCCGCGTCTTGTATGATTTTTTACACGCTTCCCATGCTCTGTTTATATCCTCGTGCTTGTGGGCTCAATATATACAAGACCTTAATAAGACCGGTTTTGATATATGGGGCTGAAACATGGACCTTATCTCAAAATAATGAAAGACTTCTTAGTATTTTTGAGAGAAAAATTCTTAGAAATATTTAAATGGGCTATGGTGTCGAAGATACAACTTTGAACTATATCAGTTATACGCCGATTCAGATATTGTGAAAATGCAGAGACTTAGATGTTCTGGACACATTGCTAGGATGTAGATTACGAATACACGAATATATTAATATTTTCAAAACCAGAGGGCACAAGAAGTAGAGGACAAGCACGAAGGAGATGGATTGATGATGTGGAAGAAGACCTACAGATTCTAAGGGTCAGAAGTTGGAGGGAAGTTGCCAGGAATCGACAGGAGTGGTTACTTCTTTGTGAGCAGGCCAAGATCCACAACGGATTGTCGAGCCACTAATAATGATGATTTAACATATATTACCAATTTTTGCATTATAAGAGCAGAGTTCCCATCAATGTAGAAAGTTGCTACATTCTAGCATAAGACAGCTCATAAAAGTGGTTGGCATATTTAGTTTAAGTTGTTCACAGGTTTTAAATGACGATTGCACACATTTTGGTAATTTGATCAAACATGAATCATTCGTTTAAAAATGACATTTGAGGTGCGAGTGAGAGAAATTGAATAACTTGGTGAGATTTAGTTAGATTACTTTTATACAATTGTGGTTATATTTATTTTGGTTGGGTTAGGTTAAGCTTGCAATCTTTTGAAAGTAATTATGAAGAAACTGGATAAAAATGACGAAAAGTGTTATTTTTTATAAGTGATTTTTTTGTAAATCAATGTAAATATTTAATTTTTTTTTACGAAAATATGGTCAAATAATGAATATTCTAATGTATTAAAAATTGTTTTTGTATTCTTGTTTTGCTTTAAAATTACCTTAAAGATTAACTCACCATTTTATCACATTGTCCTTCTAACTGTTCCGGAGCTGCGTACAGCTTCGTCCCGAACGCCAAACTATGCCTCACGCTTTGAAGTGGACAAGCCAGTCCAAAGTCTCCTAGCTGTATCAATAACTGACCATTTTCCATTTGAATGAAAATATTGCTCGGTTTAATGTCATGGTGGACTACGTCTTTCGAGTGAATATATTCTAGACCTAAAGTAAAAAATAAGAAGGTATAGTTTACATCATTAATTTAAAGTAAAACATTATGTACTTTCATCAAATAAATAATCATTTAAACATAAGCTTTATGGGACCCTAGGTAAGAAAAACAAAATAATAAGCAGGTAGAAACGATTACGACAATGAAACTAACAAGTCTGGAATCGTTAATTTTTTATAGATATCCTCACAAACTTGGTTGTCTTTTTTCTATAAATTTAAGAGTTGGCTCTTTAATAAACTGAATTATATAACTATATAGCATATAGTTCTAGCTCGTTCTTTATCACTGTATTTCTTATTTTTTATTTCTTATTTATTTTATCCATCCATGTGACAACTTCACAACTATTTCTTCAGATATATTACATTTCTACTGCTTGGTTTTTACTTTTTTGGTTAAGTTAGATCTAAGCTATTTAAAACGATACAGCAATATGAGTTGCCTAAAATGGAACTATTGGTAGTAAAAGGATAGATAGCAGGCTGAAGACTAAGAGAAAAATCTCGAATACAATACACAGAACAAATGAAGACTCTGGTTGGAAAATCCCTACATGAAGCTGTCCATATGGCACAAGATCGCAGCGGGAATACCTTGTATACAATTGGGAGGAAACAGTGTTGCCAAACCTATTGTTTCTCATTGAACTGTTGACATTTTTAGCATTTGAAAAATGTACCAACCAAGACGACAATCATATTTGTACAAATTGATGTAAATGACAGATTTCTACTTTTATTGAGAATAAGCGACAATTTTGGTTTAAAATAAGTTTTTTGACGTTCGGAAACCATTCTTAAAATACAAAACATTAATAAATACAATTTATATGCCAATAAAAAAAGAAAACTGCAATATCTCGAATATAACCTCCTGGTCAAACAAATCCGGTCACTTGCATTTTGTATGTTTTTTTTAATTTTGTCGGTGTATAGTGGTTTTAATGGGGAGTAAGTAAACATTAATAATAAAGAACGTTCATTCATAACAATACAATACATTTTAATATTTTTAAATGATCGCGTCACCATAGAAATAAAATTTTGATATTTGACAAAAAATGATACTTTATTTTGGTTACTAGCAACAACTTTTTTGCATTTTTTATTGCATTTACGACGGTTCGACTTACGAAGTTTCACGTTTATTCTGATAAATTCAGACCACTGTTCATTAGTGTTTTCAAACGGTGTTAGTATGATTCCCGAAAATAATGCAAAAGTTATGACATTACATGAAGATTGCCGCAGTATACGTTATATTGCAAGTCATTTGGATATTGAAAAAAAGCACCGTGCATGATGCTCTTAGGAAGTATCGTCAGACTGAAGAACACACTAGAAGACCAAGATCAGGCAGAAAAAGGTGCAGATATCAGAGTGAGACACGTTTTTGAAAGATTTCCTCATTACGGAACCGCTTTTTAACGTCAAATGTTCTCGCTAGTCGTTTGATAGAAGCTCGAGGAACTCATATTTCTAAACTAACTGTAAGAAGAGTCCTGCATGAAAGTGGTTTACATTGTAGACTAAGCCAGTAGAATGCCCTAAATTAACAGCATGTCATCGAGATAACAGGATGAGATTTACAAATTATTACAGAGACTGGACTGTTCAGCAATGGAGTGTTGTAATTATTTCTGATGAGTCTCGTTTCTGCTTACGATCTCCAGACGGACGCGAACGTGTATGGAGGAGACCTGGAGAACGATTTGCACCTTGCTGTATTTCACCCAGAACGCTGTTTGGTGGTGGAGGTCATATGCTATGACGGGTATTTCTTTCAACGGATGCATCGAATATTCTGCATAAATAATTTCTTATTTATGCAGAATAACGCACGACCACCTACTGCGCGAATCGTCATGGATTACCTAAATACTGTTAATATTTCCATTTTAGATTGGCCCCCTTGTAGTCCTGACATGAATCCATTATAACATTTATGGACATTTTTGGGGAAAAAGATTAAAAAGAGGCAACCATTGCCAGAAACGATTCAAGAGCTGAAAATAACCTTGAATGAAGAATAGTGAAATATACCATAAGAACAGATTCAACAACTTATTGCAAGTATGCCTAGGCGTATTGAGATCCTCCACAGATGTAGAGGAGATAACACTCGATACTAAACGTAACGAACAGCCAACTGTGTGAAATTAAAATTTTATTTTTTTGTTTTGTTTAATTTTTCGAACCATGTATTTTTTTTGAGTTACTTATTACGTTCTTTTGGGTTCCTTATTTTTCCTCTTATTACTTTTTAGGTTTTAAATAAACGATTTCTGTTATTGATTTTTTACTTTCTCCCTATTTAAACCACTTAAAACCTACAGAATTTGTAACATTTTTTTAAAGTTAATATATTATATTATTTGTAATCCATTTACCACGGTGGCTGAGACGCCGATGGTGGTGTTTACGATTAGAAAATTTTATTGCAATCTACCGACTACCTCAAAATATGGAAGAACCTACTTGTTTAAATATTTTGTAATGTTTTTTCTATAATAACCTAATCCAAAAGGATTTGTATTTCATCACATTTCTAGCTAGAAGGGTACCGTTAGTTTTGATGTTCGTTAGAACTTTTTACCTTCTTAGAAATGAATACAGGTTGATCTGTCGTTTTGTGGGGGAGATATCCCTTTCTTGGGTAGTTTGGTAAATTTTGAGAGGAATCAACTCACTTCTCGTGGGGCGATCTATAAGGACAGACGCTTCGCTCATATTATCGTCTCTGTTTTACCTTACCGTCTCTGTGCATTTTTTTAGTGAGTATACACTTATATAGTTTGAGTTTCTAAATCTAATAGTATATTGATTAAATATAGTTATAAAGTATTTTTAATTCAAATAACTTCATATATACAAGATATACAAGTAAAGTATATCAGCTTCAGTGAATTAGTGTAGCAGCCATCGAGAATTACTGTAAGTTATCATAATCATAGTATCTTCAATTATCTGGGCGAATACCATCATACTCATAGTATAATCTAAGTTCATCCATTTCTACACCTGTAGTTAAGATTAACTACCGATTTAACTATTGAATTCAAGAAACATTTAATAATTACATATGAATTTTCAATCAGTTTTTAAGAACTTTTAAATTATGAACATTTAAGTCTCAGTTTATCATTAAATAATAGTGCGAAACAAATAATTAACTGCGATCAAGTGTGGGTTGGTTAAATTTTTATTTCTGTAATCGTGTCGTGTTCTTTAAATTTACCTTTAATTAACTTTGTGTTATTTGTTATTCATTTTTTATTTACTGTACCCAATATCTCGAGATATGCCCATTAAACAGCAAAGAGAGACTTTCTTTAATCAACTTAAGTGGAATATTTTTAAATAGCATCAGACTCTCTTCGCTGATAACTTAAACTGTGTATGATTATATTGTATTTGTAAAGGTATTTCCTAATTATAATACTGTTCATTTCTATATGTATACAACCATTGATCAATTGATGGTGCATTTTTATTACTTATGTGTACATTCAGCTGCTTATATCATTGTGTTGTTAAATATATTGTTTTCGTTTTATGTATGAATTTTATTTGTCGACTCCTAACAAGTTTCCTGATGTAACAATAACTCTAAATATTTGCCTTTTACCGTCAATTATTACTATACCTTTGCCCAGGAGAAAGATCAGGCTGATTTAGTTTCGTAGGTAAGTATGTGGACGCAGTCCACCTAATATATTTATTATTTGTTTATGTAGAGTGTTGATCAATTTTATTTAATTAGTAACTGTTGATATCTTTCCTTGGATTTGGTCTCAGATATCTTTCCTTATCTTTTCTTTTCTAAGGTTTCTTAATTTTCTCGTTAAACCCCAAACAATTGAGTGGCGCCCTGTTTCTATCTTATCGTATCTTTGGTAATTTTACATATCTTTTTGTTTATTTCTGTATCTTTTCTAATATCTCTTATCCTATCTTTACTTATTTCATACGTTTTACCAATTCCCGGTTCCAAAAGCTAGTTTCGAACCCACGACTCGCTCTCCACCAACCATCTGGCTGTCGTCCGCAGTGTCTCCAGTGGTGACCTTTCTAGCACCATCCAAAAAAGGTTTCCGAGGTTACAAATTTCAAAAAAAAACATACAGAATTCACGTATCCAGATTTTTTTGACCAGGAGTATCTTACATGGAGAAAAAATACATTTTGGGGCTAAAAATCCAAAGCCAAATAGAGCGAAAAAACAGAAGAGTGGGAAGAAGTGGAATATATTGGCCGAGGAAACATACAAAATGCACGTATCCGGATTGTTTGGACAGAAGTGTACTACATGGATAAAAATTACATCTTGGGGCTAATAATCCAAAGGAAACTAGAGCCAAAAAGCAGTAGAGTAGGAAGAAGTGGAACATTTTAGCTGAGGAAATCCGAATGGTTTGATAGAAGCTAAAAACAAAATGATAAAAATTCGATTTACAAACATTCAAGTTATGTTAGTTGTATTAAATAATGTGAAAGAATATAAAAAATACACTATATTCAATAAGTCGTGTCATAAAAGCTATATAGGAACAAAAAAATGCTTTGTTTGTTGGATATGCATATATTAGACTAAAAACGTTATCATCATAATTAAAACAAAGATTATACTTTATTAATCATGTTTATATTAAAAATCTGTATTATTAGATATTATCATTACAAACCAAGCAAAAATCTTATTTTGTGAATCATATTAATAAAAATATTATCTTTATTAATCTTAATACATACTGATATCTTATCTTCATTATAACATTAGTAAACTATGGATATGTTAATCAGAGTCTATATTATTTTTAGGGGGATCAAAGAGGGAATTTTTTGAAAAAAAAATATGTTTGAGTATTATTCTTAATTATACAACGATGTGGGTTATTAATAGTATATTACATAACGAGAGTTGTAAGAAGCTTATTACATGCGAGTAAAAAAGTTGCGCGCGAGCCGCGTAGCGGCAAGCGCAGTAATTTTACAAGCATGTAATAATCTTACAACTCAAGTTATGTACTATACTTTTTCTACCATTATTTTGTTTATAAAAATAAAAATTAAATTACCACTATATTTACACTGACAGTTTAATAATTTTTAATCTGTCAAAATAACGTTACCATGGAAACGTTAATTCGTTTCCATGGTAACTCGACCAACTGACTTACGAGGCTTATGTGATATTACACATTTTTATAAAACTGAAGCGTAATTTTTTTTATTACGTGCTAGTCATTACGTGTCAGTATCTATTATGATGCATTTACTTAGCATCCAAATAGTAGGTAATATACAATTTACTAGTAAGAGAGTAGAAAAATATGTTATTGAAATCGCGACCTTCGTTAAGGCAGCTGGATATCAGATGTGGTAACACTGTGAACTGATAAAATACCAGACTACATGAAACAAGATATATCACAGTTGTAACAACTGTAAATACTGATCATAAATATAAACTTAGCAGTGCAGAAATAGATATCACAATAATTTTGTATGAACACTGAAGTATGAGAAAGCTGATCAAAACAACATCCTGTCCATGATTTGTGAATTTACTTGCTATTTCTGCACAATAAACACAATTTTTGGATCGATATGTGACAATATATGGAAGGTGGCTCTATTACTTCACTTGAACATAAAACGGCAAAAAGTAAAGTAGACAGCAGCAAATAAAAGCCATCCAAAGGAAGCAAAGGCATGAATATTATCTGAGAAGGTTTTAGCTTTTGTATTTAGGGAAGGCAAGGCATTCAGTAAATTGATTACGTTGAGAAAAGAGGAACCATCAATAACAAATATTAAAAATATTATAAAGTATTACTGGTAAATTTAAATGAATGAATTACAAAAACTGAATCACAAAAAAAATAAATAAAAAGTAACCAAACAATGTGCTGTGTCATATGTCGATTACACTTCAAATGACAATAGCAGTATGTGAAGCTTTAGCTTCAGATCTGACTCCCCCGAGTTTGTTGACTTTTTACAGAGATCAAGATAGTACTCTTGTGAAAAGGGCTTGGATTAAATTAGAAGGCTATTGAGGATGTTTTGACAATAAAGACAAATTGTTCTATAAAAAAGCATTGAATTCTTAGAGAAGCATTGTATCACTCTACGTAAATTAAATTTTTTGTAAAAGTTGTTTTATTATAACCAAATATCTAGCTACACAGCATAGAGAAAAAACAAAAGTTCAAATAGCATAAGGGGCAAGACTAAGAAATGAGAACAGATTGAATATCACAAAATAAAGATGAAGATAAAAACCGGAGAAAGAGAGTGAAAGATGAAAACGAATGTATAAAATAGAGAAAAATTTAATGTGTCAGAAATTTTAAAAGAAAATTCAGAATGGACTCATCCTGCAGATAAAAAAAATTAAGTGAAATTCTCTACACCTTCCTCAGTGCAGATTTTTTGATAATCTTTATAAAATCTGTGTATTTTTATCAAAACAGATTGTGATAATTGTTTATCTTCTAAAAATAAATTACAATGAATGATTTTTTCCATCACTATAAATAAAATTAAGATTAAAATTTTTAATTTACTTACCATTTAATAATTGAAAAAGAATTTGATTAATATAGTTATTCCTAATTTTCAGTTCATTTTTAGGAACTAACGCCTTGTCAGGATTAGAAATCGAGTTCCTCTGTTCTAACCATTGTTTTAGGGTCATCTGACACAAAGCCATTTGGATGTAAAGTGTTGCCCATTTTACCTTCGTTCTATTGAGCGATCTAATCTTCTCTATTTCCTTCAGGTCCAATTTACACACTACCATATCGTCTCCTTCCGATAGGCTTTTTCTCTTCTTTCTACTGTTGGAAAAAGGGACTCGCTTTAAAAACGATAACCAAATTATATGTAATAAACGTATGTACAAAAACATTGTTTTTTGTTTAATAACTGGAATTAAATATGAGCTTCACTCGAAAGGAAGCTCTGATCATCATATGATAAAAAGCTTTTGGGGAAAGAAAAATATGAAACTTGAGAATAGATAACATAAATTTACGGTTGCTAGAAAGAGGTGCAATGACAATATTGCAATAGAAAAAAAAACATATCTATATAAAAGTAGAAGAAGAAATCAAACATTAATAAGTACTGAGAAAGAAGTGTTATAAAAAATTTATATATAAAAACAGTAATGTTATACACATATACCACCAATATATATTAAAGTAATGAACCCGAGATCATAACAACCATAAAGATTAGACTTCTGCGCTGAATAGGCCATGTTGAACGGATGTTGGAGACTGAAACTCCAAAACATATAATGTGGTTAACACCAGTAGGGAGAAGGTCAAAGGGAAGACCCAAACTTAGATGGAACAAGTGGAACAAGATCTGAAAACACTTAAGATTACCAACTGGAAAAACAAAGCAAAGAACAGAACAGAATGGCGGAAAATCCTAGAACAATCCAGGACCCAAAAAGGGTTGTCGAGCTACTGATGCTATGAGCAACAACACTGTCATCACCAACAGAAATGTTTTTTAGTAATGGCATGAAATTAACAGTACGAGATAGACTGACTGTTCTTCTTAATTTTCTTCTCACTGATGTCTATTTCACCTTTGTGGCTCAACTCAGATTTGTCCATATAATATATAAAAAATCTTCAAAACTATGTGGAAAACATATTTAGTACTTACCCAGCAGTTTTGGACGAGCGATCTTTCTTAGAAGTAGCTCCACTAACACTATGTTCAAAACTTATTCGAAAATCAGTGCTATCTTCTTCACTTTTTTCACTAAACGATTGAGTAGTTTCTTGGTGATAAAAGTAGTCTGTTTGGTGTGTAGACTCACTAGTTTTGTGGGTAATGACTTTGGTACTTTTTGGTGCCCCAATTTCCAGCCAAGCACCTTTGTATTGTACTATATTGGAATGATTCATGCTAGCGAATGTTTTAACTTCTGAAAGGTAATTTCTTACTGACTCAATACCTTCAGACTGTATTGGAATTTTTTTGATAGCATATTCTGTTCCATCTAATTTGTGTTTTACTTTAAACACCTAAAACAAAAGAGCTTTATTATAAACATATTTATTCTATTTCAAGGTTCAATACTAGAGTTATATTTAAATACTTTATGTATATAAATTCACAGAGCCCACGAAAATAACCATAAAGTACCCTTCTAGGGACTCTGAACCAACCAATTATTTGACATTTTTTATGTAGTATAGAACCCTATGAAAACAATCTATACTTTTCCTGCATTGAATTAGGTCGTGGTTTTTATTTTTTAACACCTACATTCAAAAATGCACACATTTGATATGTTCAACAAGCATTAGAAAGTAAAACATTAAAAAATACCAAAGATAATTCTTTTATAAGCATCTTCTGAATGTTGATATACTTATTTGTTAATTGTATATTTAATAAAAATTAAATCTGTCACTGCATGCAAAAATTGGGTCACATTCATTGATGCAATTCATCAACTATAGTTCGATCTGGAAATAATAAAAAGTGACACGTCTTTAGTATAGGACTGCAACAAACCAGAGCAGCAAAATTTAATTTGTATACATTAAAGAGAACTGTAAAGTTGCTCCCCGAGCCTCTAAAATTACTGGTTCTTAAAAAAATACGCATAGAATTGGTTTAGGTTTCGTCTCTAGCGTATTGAATTTTTCATTTATTTTTTTATACATGGAAATTGTGGTTTAATCCCATATAAATACAACATTGAACTTAAACATGCCACAAGAAATAGTCACAAAAGATGAAATACTCTTAAATAATAACATAAAAGATTTTATACACAAGCACCTAAAAGAGGATGTAGAAATAGAATCTGCAATCAAGATAAAAAACAATATATATATATATATATATATATATATATATATATATATATATATATATATATATATATATATATATCTGGTACTAACAAAGGATTATGGTGAAAAAAAAAAGGTAATAAAAGAAAAAGGCAAACTCAGATTTCTTACTGGAGAAAAGATCTTCAGAGGCAGAAAATTATAAATAAAGGTAAGGAATTAAGAGTTGAAGGTAAAAACCTGGAGATAGGACACAAAAACTAACTATTGATGGCATAAAATTAGAATGGGTTCGAAATGGTACTTTCAAACGAGAAAATTCTCGAAATATGGACCCAAAAAATGGCATATAGCTGTGGAAAAAGAAAAAGAAGACCCATGATACCAACGGACCCTAGTGATGAACAGGAAAATGAGTTTGAACATAAATAGCGAAACAAAAAATAAGAATACATAACTAACTATTTATGGGAAAATTTGAGGTAGTGTAGGATTATCAAAAGGATATACAACAAACCTATGCCAAACAAGATAGTGATACTGTAACATACAACAAAAGTTCTAGAAAATGACAAACACTATAAAGGAAGCAAGATTGAAGAAAATACCAAGAATAAAAAGATTTAAAAAAAACCACTGGTTTGATAATAGATGTAGAACAGAATTAAAAAAGATCAGATTTGGGATTAATAAGTTTGCGATCATAAAAAGAAGACAATGTAGAAAGGTATGCCAAACAATGAAAGAATGTAAAGAAAATTCTAAGGGCATGCGAAAGAAAGTATATGGATGATAAAGTAAAGTGTATTGAAGAAAATTGCACAATGAAATAAAAAATTTCTATAATGAGGTAAAATACATTAAAACTGGGTATCAGGGAAGTACAATGAATGTAACAGATAAGCAAGCAAACCTGATAGTGGATGCAGACCAAATATGTGAAAGGTCGAAAGGATATTTTGAAGAGCTGCTAAATGGTAGAGTCACTACTGAAGAAAATTATAATGTTTCTAAACCCCAAATAGTAGTAGAAGAAATATCAAAGCCTAGAACAGCGGAAATAATAAAATATATGAAAAATCAAAAAAGCTCCGGGGAGAGTGGCACTGTGGCAGAGAAATTAAAATATGGAGGAGAGGATGAAATCAACTTTGTGAGTAAATAGTAGAAGTGTGGGATACCGAAGAAATGCCACAAAAATGAAACAAGTCCATTGTAATTCCTATACACACAAAGTGAGATAGAACTGCAAACTATAGAGAAATATACTTGTTAGAGGTACTTAATATACAAAGTGCTCACCATACTAATTACAAAACGATTAGAAATATATATGAAGAATAATCTAGGAGAATATCAGGGAGGATTTCACAAGGGAAGATCAACTACTGATCAAATCAGATCAAATTTTTTTGCTAATCAGATCAATAGCTATGAAAACAACACTTCAGCACAAGTACTTTTCATTGACTAAAAAGCTGCCTACGATACAATAGACAGAAACAAATTAATAGGAATACTAAAAGAATCCGAAGTGACAGAAAAAATAGTAAGGTTGGTAAAAACTATTTGTGCTGTGAAATGCAATGGTATAGTCTCAGAAGAATTCAAAGCGAAAAATGTGTTCGCCAAGGAGACCTGTTGTCTACCTTGCTATTCAATATAGTTCTAGAAAAAATTGTAAGGGTTAGTGGGATAAATAGGTGTGCCTTCTTTTCTATAAAGAACGCCAATGCTTAATATATGCTGATGATATGGTTCCCATTGCAAAAAATGGAAAAGAACTGACAAGTATAGCAAAAAAATGATTTAGGAAAGCTTTTAAAAAAGGCTGAAAGTTAATATTGATAAATCTAAGTACATGGAAATCTTGAGCAAAAAAGGAATAAACACTAGGGGTTCTTTAAATTTGAGATGGATTATGGATCATTTTTAGAATTCAAGAAGATGGATGAATATATGCACTTAGGCAACCTTAGTGATCAGATATATAAGTAAGAAACTGAATTCAACCAGAAACTGATCAAGAGCAACAAATGTGCTAGGGCCATGAACAAAATAATGAAGGCCAAAGATATATCTAGTAATAAAAAAAATTGAGTACATGAAACTATAATTAGGTCCACAATGCAATACTCTGCCAAGACATGGAGTGTGAACAAAACCATATAGAACACATTGTAAGCATGGGAAAGAAAGATACTTGGCAGAATGTTTGTTGGAAAAGTAGTAGGGGGAGAATGAAGAAGATGAACTAATGTAGAAGTGTGCCAATTGCATGCTAACCCTACAATAAAAAGTATTGAAAAAATGTAGACTAGCATGGCTCAGACATCTAAAAAGAACGAAAGGTAATAGACAAGTCAAGAATATTGGTTGGAAAGTATCTGAGGAGAAAAAAGAGGGACCCCAAGAAAGAAACAGAGAGATGCATTGATGGAATATGTCAGAGAGATGGGAATCAGAGATTGGAAGGTGACAGCTAAGAACAGAAAAAGATGGAAATTATCCATCCAGCAATGGGCCTAAAAGGCATGTATACACATGTTTTTTCTTTTTGGTTGATTTTAGATTTTAAAATATAGGTAATATATTAAATTACAAACTGCAAAAAAAAACTAATGATAATTAACATTTTGATTTACTTCTTATCTGCAAATTAAGACAATAACATTCAATAAATTGTTAAAATTTATTATTAAATTTTTGGCCACTGGTACTTTCTCACCAAGAGATGATTGAAAAAAAAAATAGAAATATAAAATTTTACATATTTTAGAAGCATATATGTATTTCAGCTAAATACTCAATTTTTTAAAATACATTATAGTAATAAGTAATATATCACATTATATAAAATATATCAGGGAAATGAGTGATATAAGAAATTTTTAAACATGGGAGTATAATATTCTTAGATTTCATTACCACACTATGATTCAATTTATTACCACAATTTGTGATACAAGCTACTTCATATTTTATTGTTTGATAAGGCTTTACAACAATAAATTGAAATCCAAATGTCTGGTTTACAAGCACCAAAATATTAAAAATGAATAAAGATGTTATGCTGTACCCATTTACAACTTGTTCTTTGCTGGATTATTATGTTCTTGAAAGTCACTTTTCACTTTCAGATAATTACATTTTCAATTTTTTTATGTTTTTTTGCATAATTTTTATGCATTTTATTCTTTGGTGGAGATATTGATGCATTTATACTGCATTTATTTGTTACCTGTATTAATATCTTTTTTAAATTTAAATATTTTAAAACTATTTAAGAGCAGCTTTAAAATAAAATAGTGTATTTCTTATTCTATCATATGATTACCTTCAGTATTCTTTTATGGAAATATATTTCAGCCTAATATGACATAAATTGACTTGTATGACACTTTTAACTCATCCATATATATTTACCACATGAAATGTCAACAATTTTAGTTTTTTTTTTAAATAGAAAATAAATGCATAAAAAAGTAATTTTATATTAAAAGGTATTAAGTAGAGTTTATTTCATTCAAAAGTATAGAAGATTTAGAAAAAAAGTTACCTTTCCAAATCCTCCACCAGCAATATAATCCACCTCTTCAAACTCAGTACAGTAATGAGAACTACTATCTACTTTAGGCCAAATGGGACTAAGTGGCAAAGGTTTATTGCCACCATTTACTGATCTCACAAATTGGAATAGTGCTGTTTGGTACTGACTTCTAATACCTTCAAATTCATTCATACTGTAACTTTCTCCTATTAGATTCATACTGCACAATTTATCACACAGAAGTTTATATGTTTTTTCTGCTTTTTGGCTGTTGCTCTCATATATGCTACATATATGTTTAATTAGCGACTCGATCAGTAAGCTTGTTTGAAGGGATACAGTTGGTTTTGGGACTAAATAAAGGGACCGAGGCTTATCGCCAGCTGTTTTTGAAATTCTGGTAGCTCTAGAAACGTCTCGACGGTTTTCATTATTGTCTTCATCATCCTCGCTAGTAAATTCTATCGAGATTCCTCCAGAATCAGTCGTACTGGACATGTCAAAACTTGTTTTGAATGTTTCAAAACACACAAAATATTCATAAATGATTTTATCAAAGATTATGGAAGAGTGTTACCTTATAACTTATAGATAACTATTATGGCACTTAGAAGAAATTAATAGATCTAAATATTAAAAGAACAATACAAGAAAATTGTTTTTCAAATTTGAAACATAACCTTGCACCGCTCTACAGTAGTTGTCAACATGAAGTAACACAATTAAAAACTGACATTGACATTCTATTTTGATAATACATTACGTCACTCAGAGAAACATCTAGAAAAGTTAGAGGTGGATCATTTAATCTTGGGTCTGTTATTAAATACTATTCCTACTATCCATAAAAAGGATATATTTTTATATATAATTTATATAGTGACACAAGTCGTAAAATTTACAAAAATAAGTTAGGTCCATTTTTAAAATCCCTGACATAGTACTGTACTGAATTTATAAGTCTAATTTATTAACTTTATTTATTTATTATAAAATGTTCTAACACTTAGTTGATTAAAGTCTATATACAATATTAAATTTATTTACATTTATTACAATTTATATTGCCGACAATAAACTCGACTCGAAATTTAAAACTAACTGTAACTGTAATAAAAAGCTCCTCCGTATTTATACAAAACAGCCGTTATTCTGGAATCCCGCCGACATTTTTCAGCTTAGGAAGACCCCTGGATCTTCTTACTAGAAAATACTCGAATGAAAAAAGATGTTTACAGTTTAGATATGAGTCATTATTTATCGTAACAGTACTATTCGCCACTAAGAGTAGCACTAGTTTCCTTTTTCTACAAAACATTTGTTTTGTTTAGAATGAAATTGAAGTAAGTCACTGTTTGTTGTCATGTAAACCTCAGTTATGTGCAATTTCAATCATTAATGACCGAAAAACTTAATATAATTTTATTCAGTGAAAAAAGGTAAATAAGTTTATTAGTGAATTCAAAGATTTTGTAATTATTTATTATTATTGGAAATTGTGTGAGCGCTTTTACAACCATAGACATATAATACAAGATGGACTGACTGCTACAATACAGTTGCGTTCCGCCAGTACGACAGAGACAGTCTGTGTGTTATCACCGGCTGTGTTCCTTTACATGTGCTGGCAGGTGAAAGGGCAAGGATTTACAGTCGTAGGGGGCGGAACATTGGAGAGCAAGAAATGAATGAGATAAGACTGGCCGAGAGATTAGTTTCAATCGGACAGTGGCAACAAGAGTGGGAGGCAACACGTGATGTGGCGGAGTGGACGAAGTCACTAATCCCGAACCTTCGAAGCTGGGTGGACTGTGGGCATAGGCAGCTGGATTACTATCTAACGCAAATGCTCACAGGCCATGGCTGCTTCCGCAGCTACCTTTTCAGGTTTAGGAGGGCTCAGTCCGATCAGTGCCTTTACTGTGGTTTCTCGGACACTGTGACACACACGATGTTGGAGTGTGAGCGTTGGGCGGATGAAAGAGAGAAGTTTGTAAGAGAGTGTAACTGCAGAATGTTTGATTCCGTGAGAGAAATGGTGGAGATAATGATGAGGGATAAGTGGTGGTGGACACGGATCCACAAATTTGTCAGGGAGCTGCTCTCCTCAAAAGAACGAGAAGAGAGGGAACTCGCAACAAAATTTTAAGACAAGCGAGTAGCACCTTGGTAGGGTTCGGACTGTCGCAGGCCGAACTAAGAGTGAGTAAGAGACAGACGACGCGAGAGAGATGGCAGCCTCGCTAAGGCAGGGGTTGAAAGTCCTTGGTGGTTCGTGTGGGTGTGGTTTCCTGGATGAATGTGTCGGAGAAAGAATGGGAATCGGGTGATAGCAGGGCATCGGGAGAGATGTATGCCTTAACTGGCCCTTACATCCTGATGTCTGGTATGACAGAGGAGAGGTTTTTAGTTGGACGCCGACCGTCTCGGAGTGGTGACGGGGCGAGGTGTCAAGGGTTTAAATTCCTTGGGCATCTCGCCCCTGCACAACTTCGCTAGGGTATTAGGAACCCAACACTACCTGTGTGAGTCACAGGTGTCTGTATGCAGATTTTCCTTCTTCTCTTTAAAGATGTAAAAAAAAGTACGACGGAGAAAACTAACGCAAAGCAGTCACTGCAACTCTGTCTAGTGGGCTGGGTTTATCGATCACGTGACCTTCTCATTGGTCATTTAGGTCATGTGGTCAATAATCCTGGTAAAGTTATAATAAGATACAGAGACTGCTTTGAGTTAGTTTTCTTTGTCGCACTCGGGGAACGCCACTGTAGCAGCAGTCAGTTTATGTTGTATTATATGTCTAAGTCATCGAGTTAGCATATATGGAGAAGCTATGAGCATATTAACGTATGTATTAAAAACGGCGTAGGTAGGCGTGACTAACGATAATACCAATATGGCGTTGGGATCAGGGCCAGACTCAATAATATTAAAACTACTATACAAATATGACTAGTTATTCAGAAGTTTTAATCATAATCTAAAAAAGTGCTATAAATTTTAATAAACTGATTTATTTATCTCGCGTTAAACACTAAAAACACGATATATTATACATAAAGAGAAATTAATACAGTCAAATCACAATACATTATTACAGTTTCTATAAAAGTATTATGAAACTAAAAATATTCGAAAAACAACAAATGTAAACAAACATATACGATCTGTCAAAAGTGTCAAAACAATATTAACAATATGGCCGAAGTGAGGTTGTTTTTAGTCACGTGATGCCCTCTCCATATATTCTAACTCGATGGTCTAAGTTCACAACTTCCTCGTTGTACTAAAGTTGAGATTATATCAGTAAAGATTGGATTTGATGTTGTTTATTCTGATTATTATTCAGATTAACCCGAATTTGTTAAAGAAGTAGACAGAGATCCTGACTTCGATCCTGACCAACCTAGGCGTAGGCCTAATAATTATTGACAATACTTTCTCAATCCTTCTGCTGTAAAATGCTTGTAAAATAACGTGTTCTTCTAGTTCAAAAGATGAAGCTGGAAATCTGCATTCATTTTTTGCGGCCAGAAATGCGTCTTTTAACTAGTATAAAAGTTGGAAAAGACTTCGAAATCCTTCAGCTGGACAGCGATATGTCAAAGAAGGGAAAAATGGTCGAAGATAAAACATTTTAACAACCTCCTTTTCCTATAAAATAAAATGTAATGACAAAATCGCACTACAAGAGGGGAAGTCTTCGTTTCAATCGTTTTGGAAAATTGGAGATTTCAAGAGACAAAATACATTTTTATGCGGCTTGGCACATAAAAGTGCAGTAAAGCAAAGAAGCTCAAGAAAGGACGGAACAACTCAGAGATCTTCGAATAAATATTATTTGAAACCAAACAATGAATTATGCGTTATGGTTTGTACGAAATCTTTTTTGGAACGTTTAATGTATCTAAAGGAAGAGTTTCTCGTGCTTTAAGAAAAACAGAAGACGATAGGTCTCCGGGAGACAACTTAATAGGATTAAAATGGTATCCTACACGTAAAATATTAGAAGACACATGTCCAGTATTTACCTTCATATAAAAGCCATTACACGAGAAAACATAACCCTAACAGTAAATATATATGCGAATCTTTGAACCTACGAATATACCTTCTGAAGATCAAAGACGTCCAATTAAGGAACACTTTTATAGATATACATTCAATAAAAAATTCAACTTGCATTTTTACATTTGTTTCAAAGATACATGCAAATGTTGCGTTAAATACAAAAATTAAATATCTAACCCTGATTTGAGCCAGGAAGATAAGAAAACACTTAAAAGGGATCATGCTTCACCTAGGAAGGTTGAATTAACTAGAGACGATGAAAAATTTCCAAAAATATTCAAGAAACAGTATTATATGCATTATCAGTGACAGACATCCCATTTGATTAAAGCTTTTTAGATGTTTGGCAATAATGAAATTTGAGAAGGACATAAGGAAGATCCAAAAGAAACAGAATTCATTAAAATCCTTGGCCTAGACTTCATAGCCTAAAGTTCCTTTTTTTCAGAGAAGATTTTTGTAATTGTAATTATTTTTAAAGTACATGTAATTATCCAACTCTATAAAGTAAATATTTTAAGTTTATCGTAGGTATAAATATCATATGCTAGTATGGTGCAGTATATTAAAACACAACAAATAGCTTAAAATCATAAATACAGAACAGCACAAGCTTATTGCCTTAAATTATGAGTTATAGAAGGCCAAATACAGAATCAAAATTTTTTCGTTACAACCTTTTCCAACTGTAAAATCTAATTTACGAAATAGATATAATATCAAAATTTTCAAGATATAGCTCATGTATTATGAATCGTTACACAGTTTGGTATGTATCTACAGGTATCCCAAGATCTCTTCAGTATAGATTAAAAAGTTTTCTAAACATTATAACAAGAGAAAATCAGGAGCAAACGTGCCCAAATTTTGTGAAGTTGTCCAAATGTCCAATGATATACTTAAGAAAGTCCAAATTTAAAAGAAATAAACGTATTTGATGCCATCAATGCAATTCATTCTTTCGCTTATTGTGTGTGCTAGCGACTAACATTTGGGATTAAGAGTATAAGTTGAGTTTTATTAGGGTCAGGTGTTAATCATTGTCAGGTGTTAATCGTCTGCACCATCGACATGGTAATTAGTGGTAAATAGTGTCGACTGCGGGTATTTGTGTTGGTATATATGAGATTAGCGAAGTAGCCATTGTATATAGTGTAAACTGTGGATACAAAAATAGAACTTTGGGGAACTTCTGCTATGAAAGTGGAAGGTGTGAAAAACTGGTTTATTAACTTAACCTCTATCTTTGTATCTGACCATATTGCCAGACCATATATAGAAGATCACAGAAGGTGGTGTGGTTGATAAATCCGGCCCATTAGACAGAGATGCACTGACTGCTTTCGTCAATTTTCTCTGTCACATACAGGGAAAGCCACTGTATTGCAACAGTCAATCTATCTTGTATTATATGCCTATGCCCCAGA